TAAAGGTCAAACTCAAAAGTAGTCTAATTTAATATTTTTGTTCTGTTCTCTGATCCTGCAAAGATTAGTCACAACAAACTTTAAATTTGAGCAATGGAAGGTTTTATAGGGATGGAAAAATAAAATATGTTGTTGGCCTTTCATGCTTCCCTTACCACATACTGTATACCATGGATTAATAGCTATGGCAACTTGTACTTTCCATCCATAGCAAGTTTCTGTGGTGTATTGCTTAACTTTGGTTTCAGCTTTGAATTGGGCCACTGTTGCAAATCTGTTAGACATACTGTGTATGGAAAGGTTCAGTGAAAGAGTTTGGCACCGCATTCCCTCAGGACACTTCAGTCAAATACACTGGAAGTGACAGTTGTGTTAAATACCCTGTTGGTCTAAAGCATAAATGGAGAGATGAGTAGGGTGAAAACAGCCTCCCCCCTACGCACGCGATATAGTCATGTGAAATATTGTCCCAAAAGACAGCAAACAGCACACGAAGGCAGACGTGCCCACCAACACGCATTCAGTCAAGCCACGTTTGCAGATTAAGTGACTGTGTATATTAGTGTTACAGCATGTGAATGACAAGCCATGGCAATGAAAGGCAAACCCCTGTTTGATATTTATCAAAGACCATTCATATTATTGCTGGAGGGGATGGTGAATACAAGTGTGCCCTAGTTACTTCAGCACAGTAGTGCAGAATGAGCTCCACTCCTCTGTCCTGCCTTGGCAGCTGTCTCCTCCTACCTCCACTGACACTTTGGTTTTCTGACTCTGTTTCAACTCTCACTGACTAGTTTCTTTGAGCCACTTGACTAAACTTCAGGTTGTGTGCCTGCTGCTGTGAAATACACTGATGGGGACTTTGTTCTGAGAGTTAAGATAAGAGTAAAGATTTGTTAAGCTCAGCATCCTTGCTGACAAAATCATAATTGATCTTTTTGGTAATGGAAGCAAAAATACAAATTTTACTTTTTAATGTTCTAGTAGTCTGTCATCAGTGACGGTGCATTTGACATTATCAATATTGATAATTTATTACGTTCACTTGGCATGCTAGCAAATAAAATTTTTTGATCATGAGTTTATTGTTGCTCTTCTGTGCCTTTTTCTTGTTTCCTCCTACAGAATGAAAAAGGCCAGTGCCCAGCAGATGTGGTGCCTGACCCCGTTGACATGCCGTTGGAGATGGCAGATGCAGCTGCCTTGGCGAAAGAGCTCCGAACCTTGCTGAGACGGGCATTATGCAGGCCCAGTGACCCTTTGCCCCTCACACTGCATGTGCAGTCTTCTCCTGCTCTCTCTGATAAAGCCAGGATGCAGCTCGCCACCATGGGAATCCAACTAGGTGACCGTGTTGTGATAGCTGGACAGAAGGTGTGTAGTAGGAAGCTATCAATGCAAGTAGTAACAATTTTAAGTAATTCATTAACTGTCCCAATGCACCTTTTTAATCTGATGTATCCAAAAGTGGGAGTAGAGGGAAGTTATCCAACCCTATAATTAGGACCTTTATTATTAGCTAAATTCAATTTAGCTAATAAAATAGGGATATAAAACCAGCTTGATGTCAGAGACTGTATTCAGCCAATTGAAATGTCAAATGGGCCAGGCTACAGACTAAACAATTGACACTACATCCAATTTTTACATCAACTCTTCTAATACAGCTAGGTCAAACAATTAGTTGATGCAACAGTAAATACACTTGGGTATTTTGAATGCTTCCATCCTAGGTGTTACTGTTGTAATTAGATTTTGAGGTTTTATCTTTTCCATCAGTTTCATTTTTTTTTCTTAACTGCACCCTTGAAGCAGTTTTGTTCCCATTAAATTTGAAACTATCAACGACAAACCTGTTTGCGTCTAATAGGGGTTATGCGGAACGTCACGTGACCAAAACGGAAAACGGATCAGCGCACTTCCACTTTTCCGCAGAACGCGGGTGACACAACAGTAGTAATGCGAAACACATTCTTTGAGCTCGTTTTATTTGATTAGTTCGTAGATAAAAAAAAAAAAACAAAACAAATGTCATTTCAAGACACAAATACCAGAAGTGGGATCATCCAAACAGTGATTTCTGCTGCGTAGCTCAATGCACGATGTCAGGGAAGTTCAATTCAGCCATAAGCTTTCACCATTTCCCTAAGGATGAAACCTTAAGAAAAACATGGATCCGTAATGTACGACGTGATAATCTTGTAATTAAGAGGACGACAACAGTATGTAGTAGACACTTCCTCTCCACAGATGTAATTCAAGGTGGACGACGGCGTTTGAAAGAAGGAGCCGTTCCAGTGTTGTTTGCCTGGAATGACTACTCTCTGTCTACAAGTAGACCAAGCGTGTGGGAGAGAACACAACCGCCAGAGGAAATTGAGGAGGAACAGATGAACTTCGGATTTCTGCTTCAGTGTCATGACCATGCTAGACCAGAACCATCAGCCTTGGACATGGCACGTTGAAAAATTAGAAGCCCAGCAGTTTGCGAATTTAGCATTTCCATCACACAAGCTTAGTTACGATTAGCTTTCTGGTAGTGTATTACATTATTTTGGTGTACCAGACAGATGCTCGGTGTAAATATCGATAACATTAGCTAGTTAGCTTACGAACTAGCTTAGCTACATCTCCGTTTGTAAGATAACCGATACATAACTCTACCTTCGTAGTCGTGGATGTATGAAGAAGCATATAGCTTAAACCCCTTATCCAGCTTGCTGCCCGGTGTTTTAGACGTCGAACTGCATATTCGGTGGACATCCGTGATCTTCATCTTTGGTAGTTCTTGGAGACATCTTGAGTAGAACAGTGCCATATTTCATACTAGTCGCAAACCGGAAACGGATGATTCTGTTTTGCAGTATACGGAAGTAAGTTGCGCATAACCCCTATTTGGTCAGTAAGAGGCTAAAAGTGAACATTTGTAATTTATCACAATGGTGTAGGCAAATTTTAAAGTTTCACATTTTAAAAAATTGTATGTTCTATAAAACTAATGAACAATGTCACAATAAATAAATAAAAATCTAACTTGTTAATAATAAACTGACCAGTATTTATGATTAAAATTTATTTTAATTGTGCCAGATTGACTGTCAGTTTGTAGGAACACCACAAACCTAAAACTCTTAAAGAAACAAACAACAAAATCCCTAATAAACAAGAAGCGACGATGCTTGTAGTTAATTATGTATCATTTTAAAGCCTTTTCTCCTCCAAAGTAACCCTCTCTGTTAATCAACACCTTGTATTGCTACATTTGGAAAAAGTCTTCCGATAACAACAGCCAGTAAAACGGTTGCACCCCATCAGCAAAATCAAGCCAGAAGTGCCAGATTTAACCCATTCAAAGTTAATTTCATACTTTTTAACCTCTGCCAAGGAGGGTATGTTTTGTTGGTTTGTTCACTGTATTACTGAAAAAGCAATGAATGATTAGAAGTTGATGCTATATAATATATTTTTTTTTATATAAAGTATTCTTCACCATTGTGAGTGTTGGAAAGCCTGTTGACTGTTATGTGTGAGCCCCCCTTGGGGAAAAGGTGTGGCTGTGCTAATCAGCACTTGATGAGTGGAGCAAGTAAGTGTAGCATTAGGCATTTTGGAAAATAGACACCAAAGTGGACTTACATGTAGCCTAATGGTGTGAGTTGTGCTGTTATGTCAGTCTGCATACGACATTTATTTAGCCATACATTGCCTTTATTAATTGCTTGTGTCTATAATTTTTCTTGAATAACTTTCAAATTCATAATACGTATCAGTGTCATTCCTTATGCCATGGAAAGGTTGGCATGCTCAAGGAATTATGAGGGTCAAACTATCAGGGGGATTATTGCTTTTAGGTGTAATGGCATTATGGGGAAGTTTGGAAGAGGTTTGTACTCTTAGTGCTATCTAGTTTGTTTGCCACCTGAAAATGTTTCCATGGAGTGGGATTTCTCTTATGTCCAGAATTGGAAGAGAATACACTGATCTTGTTTTCATGGGATTGATTGAACTGACATACTGTATTTTACCCACACCACACACACAGCACATAAAATAAAAGTGCACACTATAATATACAAAAGGGAGCGTTTGTCTGTCACCCTCATATCTGTAGGCACATCTCATCAGTCCATGCAGCTGTTCAGTGGGTAAAGGTCAAAGTGTTTATTTGTCATATGCACAGTTAGGAAACGTGTTTCCCTGTACAATGAAAATCTTACCTTGCCGTCCACATGAATCCCACGCAATACAAGTGAAATATAAAGTAGATGGGCAATAACACAAATCTATGTAGGTAGTAAAATCACAAAACTAAGGCACTTTAAAGCAGTAAGTGAAGGAAGCAAATAAAAATACAACAAGAACACAATATAATGCAGAGAGACTATATGCTACATGGGAGCCGTGGAGTGCAAATACTCAGCAGTGAGTGTGCAATTATGCATGTGCAAAATGAGTATGTAAACGGTACAGATGGAATTACATGAGGTAGATCCTGAGTCAGCTGTTTAGGACTCTGATGGCAGTTGGAAAGAGAGTTTTTCAGCCTAGGAAGGGATATAAGGTTTGTTGGGACCCATCCCCAGCTTGTTTGTTTGCCTTACTCCTTCATTTCACACTTCTGAGCCTCCGACCGGAGGGTAGGGGTATGAACAGTCCGTGCTGGGGGTGGGTGGAGACTTTGAGGATGGAGGCAGCTTTCCTACGCACCCTGTGGTGGTAAATGTTCTGCAGAGAGGGCAGTGGAGTCCTGGTGATCTTCTCCACAGTCTTTA